AAGCTGAGACACTACTCCAGAAATGGGGACAAGATTTCGAAAACTTCTACATGAGCTCTCAATCATACAGTAGCTTTTTACAAACGATCAGAATAATTCTGTAAGTCCATAAAAACATAGTTAGCGTTATGGTCGTCCATAAAAACATAGTTAGCTCTACGGCCGTACCACCCCTCACCCTCTTGTTTGCTCGGAACTTTATTTTGCACAATCTCGAAGGGATAGAAAGGCACTCCTTAAAGGCAGCGTCCATGCAAGTGTGGACACTTGGGGATCTCACGTGGATAGTAATTTTGGGGCCCTAACTAAGCACTGCCCAACCTGCAGCTCAGGTAGTGCTCTAACGGCTTAGATGATCCCCTCGAAACTGGACCCCGCGACCGTATTCCGCATGGATTCATGGCGCAAAGCGTGGATCGTGGCGAGAAACTGCCATGAATCTATGCGAATACGATCGCGGGGTCCAGTTCCGAGGGGAGTATCCCAGCCGTTACAGCACTACCCTGGGCTGCCGCTTGGGCAGTGCCTTAGTTAGGGCCCCAAAAGTACTTTCCATGTAAAATCCCCATGGGTCCAGATCTGCCTGGACGCTGCCTTTAAAATGTTGAGGCCTACGCCACGCCTACTCGCCAAAAAGCTTTTATCATCCCTTCCAGCGGAAAAAACTGTGGATGAACTATGGCATATACCTATCAAATGGATAACAAGTTGATTTCTGCGCAAGAGCAGACAGCTACATGCATATTTTTCCTCTGTCTTCCCCATTTCACTTTTGCATTTATCATTTAATCTAGGTTGTTATGACAAATGGACCAAATACAATGTCAAAATACTCGTGTCGCTGCATATAACTTACAACCGGGGAAACACGATTAAAGTTTTCCTACGTTTGCTTTTGTTATCCATAAACTTTGTACTTTGAGTGCGCAACGAAATGATTGGAATTCCATGAAGGATTACTATTCCAACAAGTTTTAATATGAATCGAATGATCGAGAGCAAGTGCATAGAATGATTCAAGACTCAATTGAAATGAGATTAGACTCTGATGCACGATGAACATAACCGTATTTGGCATGCAAAAATTCTCGATGCATTCCGGGCCCCTAATTTTGCGCAGCTTCCTGTACACTGCTTACTGTACAATACCGCTCATAATTTATGATCACGATGGTCACCCGAGTCAGGTGACATTAGCGTCGCATCGCCATACTTCAATTCGGAGTAAGCTGATACTAACACACCGAATTTGGGCTATGTGTATGCAATGCTACTCCAAACAACATTACGTAAGAAGTTTCAAAAACTCATATGTCCCAATACTCGTTCTCGAATTTGGTGGTTTCTAGACCAAATCAACACCAAACCAACTGGGTTGGTTCGGGGCATAAATACCAGAGAGTTCACATTTTTCAGATCTTTATGATTTAGACGATAAGAACACTCAAAAATCTATCATGTAGTACAAAGAGCGAATCGAACCATTGCCTCTCTTCTTTTTTTGAGTCAAAATTAGCATAAATCTATGCTCTGATAGATATCGCACTCCAATCACACGCGGCGTACTTTGAACCGTGTGCAAGAAATGCATCGCCAAATTATTGAGGCTACAGATTTGGTTGCCCAGATAGTCTTCGACATAGATACCTCAGTAATAGAGCCTGCAATTAACTCACAATATGCTTTTTGCTTTTTTGTTATATTAGATACCTCAAAATACGCTTTGTTCGCTTTTTTATTGCTATGTTGATTGACTATGGGTACCCTACTGATTCGACAAAGTGGACTTCGTAAAACTTCACAAGTCATAGGGACTTTCCAAAATGCTCCAAAGCAAGGCGTGCCAAGCCCTGACTAAAATAGTTCGTGCATGGGAGAGACAGCAGACGGCAAGAGAAATGAAAGAGCGAGACGATTAGCGAGACGCTGACAGATCCGTAGTAACGCCCTGTCTTTGGGTGCGATGAATCGTCACTATAACGGCCTGTCTGAGTACGTTAACGGTAGCTAATCACTTTTCACTACCCTCAGTCGTTTATAGTAGAAATAATTCCGTAAAAATTCAAAAAATCGCGCAAAATGACTAGCGCTCGTAAACCCCGTACTCAGAGGCACTTCCGTTCATCAGAAGATGGCTGCGTCGAACTGAATTGAATGATGCCGTTGGTTCCGGAATTCGCCCACATCAAAACCAGATATCAATGCAAGATTGATGTCACCTGACTCATAAGATCATCGCTGGTTCTATGCACAAATTATGAGCGATGCCGCGGTTTGTGGAATGACCTAGGAGTAATGTAAAGAAAAAACAGAAAATCTAACTTTTAGCTTGGTTGAGACACAGCTAGCCTCATAACACAGCCATAGATAGCATCATATCATCAAAGAAACATGCCACTTCATAATGCTCAAGAGAGTATTGCAAGCGACAAATCCTTGCGCAAAAACGAGAGACGAACACTTTTTCTTTAAAAAATGATGTCAATATGTTAGAAGAATATCTTTCTTAGAGATTTCATTTATATTATTTGTAATCATAGCTACAAAGAGAAAATGAGCTTTTACATCTTCCTCACCAGCATAAGATGCATGAGAGTCACATACACTATAGAAACTTTAGGAGAAATCAAATGAGTACTTCAAGTCAGTTCTGAGTGCCTAAGTAATGCTGGACATTTGGAAGAAAGTGCAAGCATATGCAGAATGGGCATGCATGTACGACGTTTCCTGCTAAATGCGCGATTGTACGATTATAATAGACGTTAGAATTCAGAATAATAATCGAGCCTGTTCACATTAGAGCGACAGCGCTTATTCTTCGGCAAAGCTGTAACGCAGCGAGAGTACGAGAGCGTTTGCGAAACAGAAGATTAATCCTGCTATCTGTATTACCACTGCTACACAGAAAAAAAAAGAATGTCTCAAGGATAAGGTGGAGAGTACTTTGAGTACAAGAGCGAATTGATAAAATGACTCAGAAACCGACACCGATACCAAAAAGCAATGACAAACAGGTTCATGTTAAGTTCTTTTTCTGACTTTACACTTTAACAGATGGGTAGGTGTTGAAACTGCAACAATTTGTACAAGATTTATGGTTGAATGTGCACGGTGCTCAATGGGCCGTAAATTCTTGCACCCGACCAAAAAACGAACACTCAACCTGAATACACACCAAGGAGTATCCAGCACTTAGTTTTCTACTCATACCGCTCCAAAACGAAGGAAATGAAGGCGGCTGGTAATTGAAATGGAGACCTAGGGACCCAGACCTACCCGATTAGCCGGTTAGCCGCATCATGATTGGTCAAACAAGTGATCTGACCAATCATGAAGCGCCTCACCGGCTAACCGGATAACGGCACCTACCCTAGGTACGAGTGGATTAGCCATTATGTCTAGGTCTACCACCAATGCGTGACACTCGAGAGTCATCTGTACAGTACCTAACCCATAAATTCCGTTAGGCGCACATTTGTGTTTTAAAAGACTCACAATGCATGGAAACTGCATTCGACGATGTATGAGAAGATATTTCTGGACAGGGAACTATGATTATCAACATACTGTACCTATCCAAACAACTACATTACAGTTCAGTTATTTTGTATAATCATATATGTCACCACACAATGCCCGTCTATGCGCCCTAATCCGGATTCTGGATGTAAACACCCTTTGTTGAATGTTCTTCACTGTTTTCTCAGTGCTTTAACCCCGCACACGGTTCTGGGCTGCAAATAAAAAAAACGTCCACCCACATTCTCAACTTCCATGTTTTGACAATTCCGGGGCCTTCTCATCCCTGATTCCGAATATGACGTCGAAAATCCGCCAACCCCCCCCCCCCCCTCCCGACAGTCTCCTTTCGGAGCACCCACAGGCCGGCTTTCCGGAATGGTGACTGGACTGGCACGCACGGATGGGCAGTCATTGCTGGAGGAGGGGATTGCCGACTTGAGGTCCTCATGCATCTTTGCTATTCCGGAGCGATTTTCTCGCTTCCGAAGCGACAGCCATGGCCTGGGCTTTGGCTTGATGAGGAGTCCTACTATCATAAGCTGCCAAGAGCTCAAGACCCCTGACTTAAAGGCAGTGTCCGGGAAAAACTCGATTTCTAGAAAATCCACTCACCGGGGGTTATCCGCAACGCTGAATCCGAAAATCCACCTTAGAAGGCGCGAAAACGGCGAGAACATACGTTTTCCAAAGCCGCACAATTTGAAATTTGATGCCCCCACCAAGGCAAATCGCTGCGGGACCCTACATTTTATTCTAACTGTGGCGGCATTCGTACTCTGCCGCATAGCAGGAATTCGGACACCTCGGAGGACCCCGCCTCAAGGCGTAAGTTTCTAAACTTTCCGGTCGTTTTCTTGCTTTAGGTCGAGCATTATGACGTCGCACGCGCGATGTTGTGTCCGAGGGGGGCCACTCTCGCATGGCACTGAAGTCCCAAAACCCCCATCTTGCCCGGACACTGCCTTTGAATTGGAAGGCGCCTTCAAGCCGATTAGCAAGGCCCCTCCATTGATTCATCGATTTCTGGCACCTTGCAATAAAAATGGTCTTATCGACCCTTGCATATTTTGATGAACAAAGTCAGTAGAGCTTAATTTCGTTCTGCAATGTAGAGAATGCAGTCACTCAAAATACTGAAGACACGCGCGGGTCGCGTTCGTGCCCCTCAACTAACTCTGCTCATGCGTCTTCGTATACAGTAGCCTTTACAAAATTGTGATAATGAAAGGGGACACCTTGTGAATGTGATACTACGTTGGTTAATCGTTACTTGAAATGACAGGAGTGCTGCCGCAACTAGTTCTACCAGGTGTAAATTTACACGACACACCACGAACTAATCTATTCCATTTGCGAAAAAAGGTGTAGAGTTGGTAAGAAACAGGAAGAAAACTATTGATTCAAATTGAAAAGACTCAATAAGCGCACAGATAACAAAGGAAGCGAACTAAGCACACATGACCGATAAAAATTGGTACCTGCAGAGATGTCTCCATTTCCGTGTTCGCTTATCGCTTGAGTGTTTTACCTACAAAAAGCATTCGGACGCGGGACATAAAGTGTTCTTAGCCGCCTTCATCGGATTGGGGCAACATTGCCGATCATTCAAGTCGTTTGTAATCTGTTGCTTTCTTGCCCTCTACACAACTATAGGCTGTGTCACTGAAGTATAACAGCTCCGCAGATAAGGCATCGCGGCTGCCTTGCCTTGAGAAAATGCTTACATTAGGAGACAAGTTCACGAATGCGCGCAGGGCCTAAAGAAGGGGGAAGGCTTTAGCCACTGAAGCTATCGTCGGGTCCTCGCCCGCACGGACTGGCCGTAGATTGCAGAGCACGCGCGGCGCGGCTGATTTGTTAGAGCACGCTCTGTACGATGGTGACTTGTGTTGATATAGTCGTCCTCACCCCACTAGTCGGTCGGTGGACGAATTCGAATTCGAACTGGAGCAGGCAGGTCGCGGCAGAGCACGGCACCTTAGCTCTCCGTTCAAATTCACGCATTCACTTTGCGTATTTCTTCGCTATTGCTTAGCAGTTTTTATATTGTTACAACGTTTTTGACCGATATTGAGTTTTTGTAATTGCTGAGCTTAGTCTCCTGCCGCGCTTTGCCGTGACAGGCCTGTTCCAATTCAAATTTGAATTCGTCCACCGACCGACTAGTGGGGTGAGGGCGACTATACAAGCTTGGCCGCGCGCTCCGCAATCTACGGCCATTCCTTGCGGTCAAAGAATCGACAGCACATTCTCACGAGTGGCTATACACGTACATTTCTAGAATATTCTCCGAGTAATTTCAACAAACATTTTTCGCAGTTTCAGCGCCATTCCATGGGCAATCTAACCCAAACTTTTTGAATCTCAGATTTTGGTAGCACTCATACGAAAATCATTTAACTACACACAAAGACCCGTTTAGCTAGTAGGACTCTTTCGCGTAGTTAGGGTGGGTACAGTACTCATGTAAAAGAATGGGGGGCCATTTCGAGCTTTTCAACCACTTCCTCTTCTATGTTTAATGATTGCTCCTCCGCTTCGCGCCCCATTTACTTATGCAATGAATGGAACTCGAGACCGGATCCTACACTGAGAGTAGCTGTTCTTGAGCGTGTAGTGCGCAGAAGCTCGCTTCAGCTTTCGCGCTGTTATACATCGTTTCAGAATTCGAAGTTCTCTCTGTTGCAAGGAAAGGGATCCATGAAGAAATAATTGATTTGCCGCACGGCTGATAGTCAATGCGCAATAATCGCCATTATAGGCCCTGGGCATACCTCACGCGATATCAGACGCGACGCGATTTGGCAATACTTCAGTTGTTCATGAGTCATTGTAAGGAGTTTCTGAATGTACAGAAGATAGGGCATTTTATCAACCTACAGAACTTATACATGCTGCGCATTTGGGGTCTGCCAGTACTAGATTTAAAGACATCTGGCAAATTGCCAGATGTCTTCATATTGCCACATCGTGGCGACTGAAATCGCGTGAGGTATGCCCACGGCCGTACAAATCATCACCGCAATGTATGAGCCGCGCGTCGCGTCTGCCGCAAACACGACTAGTCCGTGCGGCCAATGTACCCATGCTAAAACCAAACTATAATTCATTCTCTAAGGGATACGAGCACATTTTGCTACTTCTGACAGCACATTCATGAGCGCCTTCTTAATTCAGTAAAATTCCTATGAAGAACTCGTGAAAGCATGTTCGAACTCGTGTTGTTTAACGAGCACGAACATGTTCTGCCACAAAAATCTGGTACTAAATCCTCCAAACGCGATAAAAAGCTCATGAACTTGTCAGCCGAATGTACGCAAATCGTGCTCTGTCTCTTAGTCAGTGAATAAAGATACAAAACAGCGAAGAATCCATAGATTCTATCTACCGGCCGCTAGACACAGCTTGCTCGCGGCTGCAAGCGTGCGACACGGTGCACGTACAAGTCCAGAACAGATCCAATTCCGCGCCGGAACTACACGGCCGACTATGCACCCTTTTTTCGGTTAGCGATGATTTCCTAACGGGAAGCTAACAATCGTTAAGCGTGAGATATGTATGGAACTCATTTGCCTTTCAAACGGCGCAATGAACTGGTGTATTTGCAGCAAAGATTGCACTGCGGCGAGCCCATGCAGGCTAAAAAGAGAGGGCAAACTCTAAGCTATTAACTATTTATTTATCACAAGCGCATCTAATTACATTGCTCTCCAGCCAGTTTTGATGAGATTTTCTTTTACACAAAGGGATATGTGTACAGCAATTGGAATGTAACCTCTGTGGTTCATTGTTAAAGGTTTTGAGCAAATCCAATAACGACAATGCTCAATTGGAAAATATCAAGAGGTCGCTAGAAACGCCTAAGTGCATAGCCAGAGCAGTACACGTACCAGTCGAAATGGATGTCAAATTTTATTGAAATATCTCTAACAGCGAGGCATTGGACAAAGCGAAAGTCCGGAAAAAACTTGATATAACGCCCAGTAGAAGGCACTGCATAGAGTGAAATCATGCAAATATGCAAGCATAGCACAGCAACATAATATTCAATCGAGCATAAAAGAACAAAATAAACAACTTGTACGCGTTATAGAGAAAAATTACGCACCTAACATGCAATTTTCAAGCATAAAATCAGCTACTACTGAGCCATAGCGTTCGAAATGTGAACTGTATGAACCAAAATTGTAACAATGTTCCAAATGCGAGTAAATCACACTTGCTATTGTTACGCATACAACAGATCAGAATGTCTGCCCGTATGTTGTACTGAGAATAACTACCATTTTGCAAGCAGACAAAAACGATGATATACCAGGATTGGGAAGTGGTGCGTAACAATACCCTATAGAAACACACACAAAAATAGTCGACTAGAAATGTTAGGAAAAAATAAGTACACGATCTCGAATACACGTTTTTCAGAAGTTCAAATCACATCAATAATCGCGTTGTGATATTGTTCGGCCAGTTTCTTGTGGAAATTCAGAAAACTAAAAAGCGCAAGAAAGACCAGAAGCCCGCGATTAACGATGAAGAATGTGATGTTAGTCAAATGCAAGCTAATGAAATATACATTTATGCGGGGAGTTGAACCACGCATATGGAACAAAGAAACAAACATAAAACGAATCGTTCAGAAATAGTGTAGGCACACAATTTCAGCAACAGCGATAGCAGACACGATAAGAAAAATAAGTATACCCAGATTGTAGGAAGATAAAAAGAAAAAGAGATAAAAGAAACCGTTTCCTGATAATGCAGAACCGAACGATGCAGTGAAAGCAGTTTGATTGAGCAGTAAGCGAAATTATGTAAGCAGCGATACTATATAGAAATACAGACTTGTTTTGTATGATATAATGTGATGTACCGGTGTCAGTTGGATAGTCTTCCTCTAACTTTTCTTCTCAGACGCCCACTGGTTGATAGTTATCCAGTCGCATCATGTCGTTGAGTTAGTGGGGTGGAGATGGCATTTGGCGTCGTCATTGCCCAGAGTTCACGGCTGCAAGGCTCAATGTTAAAACAGAATTTCTATATGGATGGAAGTATTATTCTAGACGTCAAACAATCAACAATATCTCTACCTAAAACAGTAGCAGGTATTTGAAAAAAATTGCTTGCAAAATCGGAAGTACTCATCATTTCACTCTTGCACCAGACTAGTTTGCTGTTATCAATTTTTATTTCCAACATCAAAGAACTTCAACTTACTTCAAGTCACGGGGGATATACTTGGCATAAATTTTATGGTAGTTGTTTCGAAGAACGACGCCAGCTGCTAGATGCTTGAGCGATGGTGCTGGAAAAATCAGTCATATAAGGACAAAATAAAACGCAAGCGTTTCACACAACGATTAAATAAGATAACAAACATCTGCGGACAATTACCAAACTAAATCTTACCATAGTCGAGAACATACAGATCAGCAAGATCAGCCAAGCCAGATGGGGTGCCCATACTGTTCTTCACGGGCCTAGATGTAATTTTTAATTTTCACGCAGTTACAAGTGTGCGAACGAAAAACGCTAATCACTTCCCTATCAAAATGCGATTAGCTGTGCACAAAATCAAAGAACTCACATGGTTCCACCAAACAAAAACACTCTGCTTCCAACAACGACAGTGCATTGGCGACGACGGGCCGAGGGCATCGGTCCCGATGTCTATGAAGATGTACCATTAAGTCAAAACTTGTTAAATGCAACGACAAGAAAAAAAAACGCTACCTACGATTGACAAGGAAGACATTTTCATACCTTGATCTTTTCCCAATGGTTCGTTTGCGGATCGAAGGAGAAGAGATCATCATAGTGCATGTTTTGAGTTCCAAGATACCCGCCAAATATGTACATTTTGCCACCATACGTCCCTGAATTCAGCTGTGTACTTGACTTTGGAAAGAAATTCAAGCGATTGTAACTGTGTCAAAAGTGCCAAAGCTTCCGTTCTATTTGACAGAGGAATTTTCAGAAGATCAGTCTCATCGTACACGTTACCGCTTCAGTACATTAAGATGTTTGCAAAATAAACTCGACATTCTAGTCATGTTAAAGGCAGCGTCCAGGCAAGTCTGGACACATGGGGATCTCACGTGAATAGTAATTTTGGGGCCCTAACTAAGCCACTGCCCAACCGGCAGCTCAGGTAGTGCTCTAACGGCTGAGATATTCCCCTCGAAAATGGCCCCGCGATCGTATTTCACATGGATTCATGACGCAACGTGTGTTCTGGCGCGAAACTGCCATGAATCCATGCGAATACGATCTCGGGGTCCAGTTTCGAGGGGAATATCTCAGCTATTAGAGCATTACCTGCGCTGCCGCTTGGGCAGTGCTTTAGTTAGGGCCCCAAAAGTACTTTCCACGTAAAATCCCCATAGGTCCAGATCTGCCTGGACGCTGCCTTCAAGCAAAGAGCAGAAACGCTTACATGCAGAATGACTTCGTCTTCCCGAAGGTCCAGTGCCATTACAAATTGGATCCGACCATTCCCCTGTCCTCAAATCTAATGCTTTCAATCGTTCGTCATACATATCACGAGTGGAATGGAACTGAAATGTACACAGGTATCCTACCCACTTAGCATGCTAAATTTGAACCTATAAGACAAATAAAGGGACTTCAAAGTTCATGAAATGAAGTTAAAATAGAAAGGAATCGGACGCTGAAGGAAAAAAATCAAATGCTTACTTGTCCTGTGTGATCACTTCTTCCGCCGAATATGTACATCTTGCTATCAATCGCTACGGCAGTGTGAAAATCACGCCATAGAGGTGGTTGACCCTGCAAGATAGTCAATACCACACAGCAAAAATCAACATGGATATCTCAACCCTCTCTAAACTGATAAACTATGGGATAACGCAGCAACTCTTCGAAATTTTTTTGAACAGGATCATCAACAAGAAAAATAATTACCACTAAAAGTAGTACGGGACAGTTTCTGGCTAAATTACAATTCGTCCCCATATTTTGCTATTTTGTTATATGCTGGAACACCACACAATCCAAAAAAAGAGATGACTTTATAATGTAACCCGATATGATAATAGAACAAATGAAGAAGATGAAAGAAATTTGATGGAATTCAACACCTACCGTGGTATTAAATTCGCTCCAACGATTTGTTAGGAAATCAAATACGTATGTTTCTTGACTAAATCGTTGCAAGTCCTCTTCAAATCCTCCAAACAAGAACATACGATCTCCAACAACCACCGCAGAGTGGCCATCGCGTGCAGGTGGAACACGACCTTCGACGGGAACAATGCGCCAGCGAAGTAGCACTGAAAAACTCAACTTTAAAGTGCTACAAAAACCTTCTGTCTTTGGAAAAAAATGCACTTCCTGAAGAAAGTGACATGTTTGTCTAACAAATGGACGACTACGGGGATCAACATTTACGATAGCTTTAGTACATGTCTACGGAGTTTTCTGCTCCAATGCATCTAGGCTTTCATTTTGATAATCTAGTTTACTGAGAACGAGAACTTGTTGATTCTGGTTATTAACAGGATAGTTCTCGATTCTCGACAAATGGCGATCGTCAATGTGATAATTGTATAACAACTGCGACGAACTTTTATACGATGCATTGATTGCATGGTTTGTGCAATTACACCACAATGCAGATGTGTCTTTGAAGTAGAAAAAAATCGCTTCGCATAACAATAAAGCTTCAGAAGCAAAATGTTCTTTGAAAAGCAATCTGTCACTGACCTGGATCAAATTCATGCAAGGTCGAACTGGCACCATAGTCGTCATTTCTGCCGCCCCAGAGATAGGCTCTTCCTCGATATGCGCACACTGTATGACCATAACGCTGATACGGCAGGGATCTCAATGGTTCTACGTCATCTTCTTCCATCTGAATGGGACAAACTTTTCGATGAAGCCTTTTAGAAACGAAAAGAATTCAAATCGATAAATCATAGCAGTTAGAAACCAAGAAAAGACACTACTGACTAAAACTAAGAAAAGGCACCACTGACCCTATCGTCGTCGTCATCGGCTTCACCGTGGGCTTTCACAGAAATCCATCGGTATGTGTCTGGAAGTATGAAATTTCATTTTTCGAAGTCAATACAATCACGGTGACTATCGATAAGACTCACTTGTGTCTAGCATATGAATATCAATCGGTTGATCGGGATCCACAATTTCGCCGCTACAATAGCCGCCAAAAGAGAATATCTGAAATAATAGTACTGAGTTATTATGGGGAAATGAGTCACCATCACCGCGCCAAAATTCTGCAGTTCATTCTGTCACAAGGGTGGATTTGCTAGGATTGATTTACTTGATCGACCCTGGTCAATGTTAACATATCCGTTCGCATTCATCAAATGCTTGATTAGAAATTTTTTCTGTGAAAAAGAGAAGGTTGAAGATTCTCTCATGGACAAATGTAAATAAGCACGAAATAAGGATCAGATCAAGTAGCACGAATTTGCTGACCATTCCCTGATTGTATATGAAGGTGACACTTGATTCATACCCCTCTTCACCTTTCATGTCGCATTGAGCAAAAATGATCGCTTTCTTCATTACCGCAATACAATTTCCATTTCTCGCCCCTAGATTGAGAAATGGAGTAAGCAAGCCATGCTCTCGTGACCCTTCAAAGCCAAGATCAAAACACCAAAATTGACGCGACATCATTTGCACATCACATGCAACTAATGAAGGATTATCTCTTTTCAACAGGACACAACGAGATCAGATCCTAAAGATGAGGATGATTCCAGTAAACAATCCGTTTTATGTCGGCATCATGATGCACAAAAACTTTGTGCCAATTTAATGCACTCCGAACTTCCGGGGTATCTCCTAGATGCACTGATAAATGGGATTCCGATCTGAATGACACAGTCGGCGCTGCTCGGGTCCTCGCAAGCCGCCTCGCTTTAATATCTCGCTGCGTCTTAGATTGGAACCTAGTGTATCTTGAACAAATGCCATAGCAGCGAATCTGCTAAACCCTTTGCCCAAAGGCAGTGTGCGGGCAGCACAGTTCCTGGTTCCTTTTGTGGACTTTTTGGTGGTTCTGGATCCGAAAATGTGTTGTCGTGGATTTAGATATTCTCTCGGTAAAAATGTCGAAAGGGCGCAAATCTCAAAGCCATTCAGCTAATCGCCATTCACGCTCTGCACATATATATCTGTTCTGTTTTTACTATCGCTAACTTGACAAGAGGAAACAATACTTTTGCGCGCACATGCAGCCCTATCCAATTGCTCCTGCTGGCGTCGCGCATATGCGGGCGACTATGAACAAGCCTCAGAAAAAAAGTATTTCATTCATTTGGAAGCGATGTCGCAGCTCCATTTCCACCCATACAAAGTCTGAGCACAGAGAATTCGACTATGCAAACTTTGAAGCACATCTTTTAATTCCTTATGCAGGCGCCAGACTAGCCGATCGTCGTGCTTCCGCAAGACGCGGCACAGTTATGTCATTTGGTATCACGCTGGAGAAAAATTAAGTCGGTATCCGCGATTGGTTGCACGTCAGGAGGTACGCCGCGCGCGGCGGCCACTTCGCCGCGCACGCCGCGCCCGAGCTTGGTACCCATAGAACTCCCCATATCAGAGACTCCCGGCGGCAAAAACATGGGGGTGGGGGTGGAGGCAGATACATGACTCAATGCCATAAGTAACATTGTGCCTGGAGTGCTGCTGTTGTATTGGTTGAAGTAGGTTGCGGCGTCGCTTCGCGAAAAATTCGCGCCGATAGTACCTCCTGACCGTCCCCCTCCGCGATTTCGCTACAACAAACAGTTCTTTAACGGTAAAGCTTTAATTTTTTCAATCATTTCTCCAAAATTACTGTTGTAGCGAAGACCGCAGACGTCACTTTGATATCTGTCCAGCGTGACCCAAATGACATCCGTTTACTAATTGCGCCGCGTACTGCTAAAGCAGGCAATCGGCTAGTCTGGCACCTACCTTAATCTGAGAAATCGCCCAACATAGTATCGAAAAATGCGCGAATGCTTGACTTTTTGCCGTGAGTTGCAAATATCGAAAAGAAGTGCAACCAATAACCATCTGTTTGTTCCGATGCTTTCGCAAGCATTGTCTTAAGTCCGCAAAAATGAGATTGAAAGTAAAGTCTCCTTAAAACTGCAAAAACTCATTTGAGACGAATTAAACTCAAATTGATTCATCGCAAACTACCTCATTAACTTTTTCAATGTTATTCACTGCGCCTTTCGAATGCAGGACTCGACCGTAAACCGCCAGCATCGCTTTTGTAAAATCAGCAAAGCTTTTTTTGCAAAAATCAGGTCACTAAAAAAGATAATCTTGTCACTTGCTAATGTGGCGTATGGCTTGATCGTAGACAGGTCGAGAGAAATGCAATGCTTGCTATTATCACAAAGAAAATGTGGAAAATCTATTTTTGTGTAACTTTGGAATTAGGTGGTCACAACTAGCCATTTTGGTGACTTTTGAGATCTCTACCAATTCTCACAAATCAAAAAAAAATAAATGATTGTACTGAACAAACAATTCGATCGAAACCCCTCACCCTATCGCCGATCGCAACAGCAGCGTGGTTGACGCGGCGAGGTCCGCCCTCAAGCGCGACAGTCCACTGCATTGCTTCGTGTGACCACAATAATCTGAAAACAAGAGTGAGGTTAGCGAACGTTCGGAAGTAGATAAGGATCGACGAGCCGGCGCACGCGAAACCACAACGACATGAAAATGAGCGATGCGGTGCGGGACATGAGCGATAACCCAAACGAACAAACAACACTGACCAAATAAACACATTTCCAGTCGGATCTCATTGAGTAAAAAAAGACATCGCTGTAACGAAATTCTCTATCTATCCATTAGGCAAAATGGAGCACGAACTCGATAAAATGAAATGGAATGTGAGAAGAAGTGGTGAAATCCCAAGAGACGAACGACGAACGCCGACAAAATGCGAAACAAGTGAGACTTCGCTGGGTTGCAGACAAAAGAACATTTGAGAAGCCAAGGATTATAGAGCGTGCAACTTTTAAAGAGAATGATACTGGAACTTGTTTTTCTATCATTGCAACGCTGTCCATTGAACCCTAAATTCACAAAGTGTCTAGACACAAATAGATCGCTATCAGATAGGAAAATGATGCATTCAAAGACTATGTCTGGTAGTTCTATACGAGAAGATACATCGGCTGCTGACAGAATGCTGTTTTTGTACCGTAAGAAGGAATCTGCCTTTTAATCATGGTACTAACGGGAATTAGAAGAAAGAGTTAATTAGTAAAAATCGATGAAACGGAAGATCGTGACCTCACAGATGAGAAAAGCGGCATACAAACCGCCAATACACGAACATATTCATAACAAAGGTCTCGCTCAGGATCCCTAAAAAGGACAAACCTTCCTTGATCTACGAGGAGGTTGACAAGATGATAGACTACACTCAGTTCCCGGTTGTTCTGATTAGAGCTAACGTACCAAAGCAAGAAAATGTAGTAAAACCAAAGAGGTGATGGGCAACCAAAACTTTCTTTCTACTTGCAATCAGCCCACATTCGAGACGTAAACAATTGCTCAATGTAATTTTAGCCTTTTACTGAAAAACAAAGATGTCAATATACACTTTGCGGCACTTTGCGCAATGACATGCTTGTTTACCAGTTGGGTCATTTTATTCGTATAAGGCAGGAACAAAAGGTGCCGCATGTAGACAGAAGATGTATTCGTTTGGAAAATGCGTTATGATCCCCCCCCCCCGCTTTGCCACAAGTATATCAAATGCACAACTCCTAGTGAACTCGAAGATAGACGTAAGTCTGATCAAAATCACAACAAAAAACCAGTGTGTTGCCGATCGCAGCTTCGGAGCCAAAAAACTTCTCGCCTCTCACTCTCCGCCCTTATCAGCTATACAAACCCATAAACGTGCATTTGACGCAGTTAAGCGATAGCTTATCTGTAAACAACAACTGCAAAAAACCACATGACTGTACGATTTCCATATTGGCAAGACAGATGTAGAATAGAAATATTTACTTGGAGATATTGAGCATATAAGCTGTTATTCCCATGGCAACAGATATGCACCTAAACTTGTTTGCGATAGGTCTATTTTTGGATCTAGTTTGTTTGCGAGGAAGCGTTTCGCAACTTCTCTTTTAGTTTGACTAAGCACGAATGCATGATAAATTTCAGCTTGCATCTATAATTCTACATTTCTTTTCAAAAAAGGATGGCTCTGGCTTTATCTTTTTAATTTTTGTAGCACAATTATAGAATGAAAATGATAAATTGATAAAAATAGATAACGTACATCATTAATTAGATGAAAGAAAAAAGAAAACCACTAACCAAGGTCGACTGCGATCAGTTATCGTTCAACAAATGACAGCTTGTCTTCCTAGCATAGGAGACATTACAGCACGCACGCGATATGTTCTCACCGGAGAATGCTCTCCTAGGGCAAAAAACTTTACGGCAAAAAAAAAGCTTTTCGAAAAACAAACGATGATGGCATCCCCTTTTCGCCAAAATATAGTGAGAATTAATTCTTACAAAGGGTCCAGACAAATTCAGGTACTTGTATCCCTCATAAGAAAACTGACAACTCAAAAGATTCATTGTTTCTTAAGAATTATTTGACTTCCAGCAAGACCGCACTCCTTTCAAGCGAGCTCGTCACCCTCTGCAGTGGGGAAGGGGGGGGGAGGGGTAGAGCATATGGAATTGAAATTTGGAATTCAATTTCTTGGCCACGAATGAATCATATAAGCCTCATTTGAGCAATGGCGAAGCCAAAGCCTCTCAACTCACAATCAGGTTCATTTCGACACTGCTTACAAGAAGAGGAGTAACCACCTTAAAAAACCCAAATAATCTCACCAGAAGATTTTACGCAAGAAGCACTGTGAACATGTGGTCGACCACACCAATTTGATGAGTAATGAATTTCTTGACCAAATCTTCCTTTCTCCAATACTACCATGAAAACATCACTTTCATTTCCTCCAAAACGATCAAGCTCGAGCTAAAACCGGATATGGCCGACGAACGAAAAAAGAAGCAAATCGAACACTGCAGAAAACACTCGAACTGCAGGTTTCACTGATGAAATTGATGGTGGCATGGTTTTACGGCATGCCAGCTGTTTCATTTGGAAAAGATATATCAGATAGTGAAGGGTCTTCATAAATCGAGCTTTAAAATGAATCATGAGCATGGACTTCCCAAACAAGCAATGCGTGACGCTGCTGGACTATGAATAGATGAACGATTCTAGAACGGAAAAAATCCAGATAAATGTCACGCAAGCTCAAAGGGAAAAAGGAAGTCATGTAACCATCTACACACTCAATCTTCATAGCTCATGCGTGCACGGTTGCCTCGAAAGTTTTACAGCAAACTTAATTAGCTGCCATTAGGAAGAGGAAACTTCTTCGGCGATGACAAGGTCAGTCACTACCGGCGCAGCAATCAAATGAATGGTATTGGTAGAAAGAGAACTGAGCAATGACAGTGTGATAAATTGAAAAGCCGTAAAGGCCGTACCTGCGCTTATAATTTTTGTGAATCACAATGTTTCTAGAATAACGCTAAGGGACCCGTCATACTTCGCCGAAAAAAGCCCAAAGAAGCCCGAAAAAGCCCAAAAAACACAAAAGCGCCAGAAAGGGCCGGAACACTTCTCGCACGTTTTGGGGCTAAGGCATGTGTGTTGATTTCTCAACCGAATCTTTTTGGTTCATTTTCTGTCGTCTACATGACAAAATAATGTCAGAATTCCAAAAGTTCATTTCTACGTTCCGGCTCTATCTGGCGCTTTCGGGCTTTTTGGGCGCTTTTGGGCTTTTTTCGGCGAAGTATGACGGGTCCTTAACTAGCTCGAAACATCAGTAAACGTATAACAGGTCAGGTGAGTGTGATTTTCTACATTATCTCGTATCAATAGAGACCAGACTCCGTCAAAAACACCAATTCATCAAGAAAACTTTCCGATCAGCGCTTTTTTCTTCGCGAAACTATGCACATCAAGATTTCAATCTAGCGGTTACGTTACCTAACTTTTTTATATATAAAACAATGTCACGCAAAAAAGAAGAGATAGAGAGCCTTTTCTAGTAAACTTAAAATTTTCGGGCATTACTCTTTCACACCTAATCGGGCATAGGCAGCGGCATTACAATTCTGACGACCCAAATCCGGGTCGCAAAATCTTATGTCTGTATTCTCAAAAATTCCACCTTCAATTTCCAGGAATTTGCAGCTAAGTTACATTCTTCCTTCAGCGATCTCAGAATGATTAAGCTAACAATAAGCCGAAAATGAAAAGACTGTGAAAAAATCGACATAAAATGCGACACAACTTTTGCAAAACGTGATACTTCATCAAAGAGAACTATAAACTTGGTTAATACACACATAATTGCAGACTGGTTCCGGCTGATCTTTGATTTAGTCAAAGAGCGGACAAGCGATTGCACCCCGGCAGACATCAAACAAACAACTTCCGAACTGAAAGCCTGCTGGTAAGAGAATAAGCAAAAAATGTTGAGCTTTCTTCTCTGGTATAAGCAAAAACTATAGGACAGTTCCAGAGAAAAAAGGGCTTCTAGAGATTCTAAGAGCAAAGAGATTGAGAACGATTATCCTCAGACAATCCGGGTAGGCCACTCGTGTTTAGACAGCAGCATTTGGCGTAGTTATGGCTCTAGCCGACAGATGGCTTAGACTTAATACGACTACGATGACTAGCTATACGAGTGCGACGATGGAAATTGACAGGCCGATGTTCTTAAGGCATCACTCAAAAGTCACTAGAACACCCAACTCCACCATGAAAGCTTTACACCAGAAACAAACAGCCCAAAAAATAAACGAACAGCTGATGAGATGCCAGCACAATCCGGCACTGCAGAGATTAGCGGTGGACATTATGAATGCATTCATTTCTTTCAATGCATTCCAGATCAGCGCACATTTATCCATCAGACCGAATACAAATGAGGCAAGAGCTTTTTCACTTTCCGAGGGCAGAGCAATTCTATCCTCTGCACTCGAACAATTACAATTTACGTCATATGTAAAATGCAGACTCTGCGATATATGGCGAAGCTATGCGATATATGGCGAAGCTACATCTTGCTAAAATAAAGCTTGGTAAGAAAAAGGTACACATACGTCAAAATTTTTTGAGAAGTTGAAACAATCGAATCCAACTTGAAAGGGAAACTGGAGAAAGTTCAAGTTCCTATTGAAGAGAATAGCACAACCTGTGGTTTTCTTCTGATAAGGGAGGGGTATGCGATCCTTGAAAGTCTCAGCTTATTGTTAGAGTCAAAACTGATGCTGAGAATGGACCAAAAGGTGGTTTACAAAACGGAAAGCAAAAACAACCTGAAAATCTGCTCAAGAAAAAAATTTGTATAAAACGAGAAACCTGACTAAACTCGTCTGGAAGAATTTTAGAGACTTTTCATTTAATCTTGGTAAGATTTGTCGAACCGGAAAACTTAGCCATATTCTTTTGCAATTCTTAGCTGGAGTATTTACAGAAATGCCTTGGATACGCAAGAAAATTACAGAATTTTCTAATTGATGATCAAAAAAAATTTACGAGTAATAAACTTATGATCGTAGAAACGGGGTTCAAAGAAG